GTGTGTAGCCCTAATAGGTTTTGATTGGATTGCGATCACAAATCATGTTAGAACAGCGTTGTTTTCCCCTCCTGGAGATTCCACCTCAGTGGCGATGGTGAGTAGGCTGGGGTGAAGGGATGAGGCTGAGGGTCGGAGGAGCTGGGATGGGGAGAGAGGCGCGATGACTTTGATAATCATGTGTTGGTCCCTCGGCCCGATCTGTGCTTCGATACTTAGCACCCCGCTCTTGCGGATAAGAGTGAGGGGGCCGCGGCGGTGGCGAGGCCGGCGCGCGGGCGTAGTGGCCCCGTGCAACGTTTCCACCAATTGCCCCCCATGTATTGCCCGCCAGGTATTTCCCCCAAGTGATGCTTCCATGTATCACCCCCAAGTATTACCACCATGTATTGCCCCCAAGTACTGCCCCCATGTATTGCCCCCAAGTATTGCCCCCATGTACTGCCCCCAAGTATTGCCCCCAAGTATGACCCCCATGCATTGCCCCCCACGTATTGCCCCCATGGACTTGTCCCAAGTATTGCCCCCAAGTATGGCCCTCAAGTATTGCCCACCATCACGCACGCACAAGGAAGAAGTAAGACCGTTCGGGCTCCCTGACTCTGATGTTGTGTCGGGCTGCTCTTGGTCGACGCGTTCGTGCGAGTCCGAGCGCCATGTCGCGGATCTCAGAACGGGCGCTGGAATCTCTCTTCTCGAGTCTGGGCCCTGCCGTCCCGCTCGGTGGCCCTGACCCCTCCCTCCTCCTCAGCCTCCCCCTCCTCCTCCTCCTCCTCCTCCTCCTCCTCCTCCTCCTCCTCCCACTTCCCCCCCCCCCCTCAGATATTCTTCCCACGAGGGGGAGCGGGGGTTCCAGGAGGATAAGTCGTGCCATAGCTACGGTGGCCAGATTGAGCACTCGGCAAGACGTTTCGTTAGATATTTGATGCCAGAGGCCACGCTCCCCTGACCAACACTTGCCATATCTTCAGATGCCGTCGTTGCTGTCGCCAACGATGTTCTTTTTGAGATCCCATTTGTTTTGCGAAGCTGGTTTGGTTCAAGAATCTGAGCCGACACGGTGACTCGGGGTCGCCATGAGCCTCTGGGATGATGAGGCTCCCCACCCAGAGCCCAGTAGCAGGGGACAGAAGCGCGGAGCTGCACCCACTGAAGTCGTGCAAGGGGGTCGTCGCCCGCGTCTGCCCGATTTGAGGGTATATGATTCCTCCGGCAAGCTTGATTTGTTCGCGTCGCGGGACTTCTACTGCGACTGGATATTCGACCCACCAGTGCCAGTGGTGACGCCCAATAAGAAACAGCCTAAACGCTTGTCAGACGTATCGCCCTCGAAACGCTTCGCCGTGCGCCATGGCAACTGGATCGTGTTCAAGAAGAAACCGCAGATATGTTGCGCGTTTCCACGTCACGATGCCTCGGTGGGGTCTGTTTCCTCCTCGGCGGTTGCCACTTCCGTTGCCTGTTCATCAGCTGGGGCTCCAGGTGTCGCACGCCACCGTGGCCGCCCAGTTATCGTGATTGACTGAGTCGCTCAGGCAGTGGCAGCATTGCTAGCCCGTCTTGTGCATGTTTGAATTCGGTGCGCCTTTCAAGATCGTGTTGTCGCCTTTGGGGAAGTTGGCGTTCAAAACATGAACCATCAGGAATCGGTCGTCGCCCCGAGGATCGACGTCTACTTGCGAGCAGGGGGAAGCGTGAGTCTGAGAGACCCCACGCGTTCAGTCAAATATTGAGGCCAAAGGAAACAAGGGGGAGAAGGGGCGGCAGCCCCCCATTTCTCTTCACTCTTCACACACCTCCATATCCTCCTCCCCTCGCCCTTTTCACCCATCTTTCTCTTACCCTCCCTCCCCCTTGGATGCGCCTCCTCCTCCTTCTCATTATCATTCCCTACCTGGGCTCTGCCTAGAGGGTTCTTATTTTCTTAGCTTGAAGGGGCCAGGCAGTGTAAATCGCCCCGGGCGGTTCCCCCAGTACCCGCCACGCGGTTCCCCCAGTTGCGCCCCCTTAGCTTAGCTTTGCTTATCTCATCTTAGCTTAGCTTAGCTTAGCTCAGCTCAGCTCAGCTTATCTTAGCTTAGCGTTGCTGATCTCATCTTATCTTAGCTTAGCTTGGCTGAGCTTAGCCCAACTTAGCCTAGCCTAGCCTAGCTTAGCTTAGCTTAACTAAGCTTTAGCTTAACTTAGCTTATCTTAGCTTAGCTTATCTCATCTTAGCTTAGCTTACCTTAACTTAGCTTATCTTAGCTTAGCTTGGCCTAGCTTAGCTTCGGTTCGCTTAGCTTAGTTTAGCTTAGCTTTGCTTTGCTTAGCTTATCTCATCTCATTTTAGCTTAGCTTAGCTTAGTTTAGCTTAATTATCTTAGTTTAGCTTAGCTTAGCTTAGCTTCACTTATGCTGCTTTCCTAGGGGCTCCAACTCCTAGGTAGGGTCGCACTGGGATAATCATCACCCTTGTTCCCTAGCCTTTCTGGCTCGGGTTTACCGTCGGCGAGGCATCGCCGATGATTGTGTTTATTTTGTTGTTTCAGTCGTTCCACTTGCCAGCGATGGAAGACTTGGACTGGGGCGACCTGCCCGCCGACATTGACGACGCCCCCGCTCCGATATCCAGGAAGCGACCGGCCGCCATGCCCGCTAACCAGTCCAAGAAGCCCCACTGCCTCGCGTCCACCAGCGACCAGGATGCAGAGGAGGTTCTGATACCTCCGCCACTTTGTTCACTACCTAGTCGTACTACTACGCCCATGGTGGAGCAGGCTGGTGCGACGGCCTCGTGCAACCCGCGACTGACGCAATGTGCCCCAGTGAGCCTTGCCCACGTCGTCTTTGTTATCATCGTCGTCGTTCCCTTGTTGCTGCTCCTCACGCGCCCCTCCCCCTTGTGACAGGGGGCGGTGGTCTGCGGGGGTAGCGGGGGCACATCGCGTGAGTTGTTGGTGCCCGCGGGCGCGCCCCTTCGAGGCCACCTGCAAGAATGCCTTCTTAGATATGCTCAATGACCTCAGCGGCGACCCCCCGGTCGACACCGACTTGACCTTCGACGTCTCTGACAGACGCCCCGACGCCCCGATCAGAGTGGGAAGCGATTGCGCCGGCTACTGCAGCGAAGCGCTGGCCCTCGAGCTGCGCGGCATCAAGTGCGAGCTGGTTTTCGCGTGCGAGAAGGACCAGACCGCGCGCCACATGTGCTATCACCTGCGCGGCACTCAGGGCGTGAAGTGCTACAAGGACGTGGCGCGCAGGCACCGCGAGAAAGCCCCGAGGGTGGATCTCTACGCATTCGGTCCGCCCTGCCAAGGCTTCAGCAAGGGGGGCACCCAGGCCGGAGTCAACGATCCGCGTTCTCACGTCCTCTTACACTGCTTGGAATCCAAGACGCCTCCGGCGACGCCACCGCGGGCCCCTGCCTTTTTTGGAAACGCCTACGTGGCCAAACGTTGTGGTCAACGCGTTGGACCGTGTGTTCCCCCAGCCGTTGTAGAACGCCCTAAGGGGACACCCAGGGGAGTTCCCCCAACCGCTGCGGAACGCCCCGAAGGAACGTTTGGGGGGGCGGAGGAAGAGGAGGATGAGGGAGAGGAGGAAGAGGAAGCATATGATAACACTCTACTCAGTGCCCACGGTACGGTGGCGGGTATATAAAACACAAGAGACCGAGAACCTTTCTGTTCGAGGAGAGCGACGTACTTTTGGAGAAGAAGTACGAGTGGCTGATTAACAAGGCCACCCTTGTAAAGTCACAACCACCGCCCCGACCATTACCACCGCCACCACCACCTTTACCACCGCCACTGCCACCATTACTGTGCCTAAACGCCTTCCTCGCCGAGGCTGATCGGGTTTCGGGATTGGTGCCCTGTGGGCGCCTGGTCTGGGCCTCAGTGGCCTTGCTCGTTTGGCGAGTGCCCGTTCGGTGCCTCTCAGCGTGCTACCGCCGCTATTGGCGCCACTACCAAAACCAGTGCCACTAGAGCGGCTGCCACCACATACCCCAATCCCTACCGCTACCACCACCTATTCCAGACGAGTTGGACGTTCACCGATTAGCAGATATAGCACTGGTAGGCTCCTTACCGATACCACTCATATTGAATCGAGTTAGTGCGTAGCGCCCAGAGGTCGTCGAGCTCATGCAGGGATGGGGCTACGCGGTGTGGTGGTTCAAGGTCAACACCCGCCACCATGGGCTGCCGCAGAATCGGTCCCGCTTGTACCTCGTCGGCGTCTTTGCCGATGCGAAGGCCTGCGACTTCGTCTGGCCCGACCCCGTGCAGCCGGTGAGCCTCTCATCGTTGCTGGGCGATGACACGGCGGGCGTGCCCGCGCCTAGGAGCAAGACGGTGTTGGACAACATCGAGTGGGGCCTCAACGAGCTGAAGAACGAGGGCGTGAACTCGGAGACGGCCTACGCGCTCATCGACGTTCACGCCGGCAAGTCGCGACGACAAGTGACAAGAGATGCGTGCCCCTGTCTGGCGCGCCACCGGTGCCTGCTGAACGGTTTCTTCCTCACGCGCCGGGGGAACATGCTTGACAAGGGGGATCGGGAGGGCGATTGAATTTGCTTCCTCCTCCTCCTCCTCCTCCTCCTCCGCCTCCGTCTCCTCCTCCTTCTCCTCCTCCTTCTCCTAATCCTCCTCCGTATCGGTCTCATGTTTCTCCTCAACGTCTCCTCCTCCTCCTCCTTCCCCGGCTCCCCTTTCAACAGTTCCTCATCATCCTGCCTATCCCCTCCTATCCCCTCCTCTGCCCCCTCATCACCCTGGCCTTCTGTCTCGTCGTTTCCCGTCTTCCCTCCTTCTCGAGCTCCCTTTTGCCATCTCCTCTTCCTCCTCCTACCCCCCCTCCTCGACGACGACGACGACGACGACGTCGACGACGTCGATGACGGCGACGACGACGACGACGACGACCTCCTCCTCCTCCTCCTCCTCCTCCTCCTCCTCCTCCCTCCTCCTCCTCCTCGTCCTCCTCCCCCCCCTTGTTTCAAGGAGCTCATGGCGCTCCAGGGCTTCCCGATCAGCAGGCTTAATTTCGACGTGATCGCCGAGAGGTACGGCGTGCAGGTCAAGGATGTTCTCGGCGCGCTGGGCAATTCCATGAGCATCAATGCATTGATGAGGTTGCTTCCCCGCCCGTTGAAAAGCGGCGGCCTTCGCAGGAAGATCGCTCCCACAACGTATGACAAGTTGCCTTTGTTGGCCGGCAGCACTGGAGGTATTTGATCTCCCGAGTGTTGCGCCACGTCGGGCGCAGGGTAGGCTGCTGGGGTCGCGAGCAGCTCAAGACGGCAAGTAGGTTGTGGATCACAGGTGCACGTGTCTTGGACTTCATGCCTGAACGGAGTGCGCGTCTGTGCCTCTGCCACGCTGTCCAGAAATTCTTCAACGTCGGAGTTTTTACATGTGTGCTCGAAGGGCTATTGTGTACTTAGGCCCCTCCCGGACTGCTGTCGCTGCTGCGTTGGGTATTCATGTGCCGTGGTGGTGCGGCCTCGCTTCCTGCTATTCAGTAGGGTTGTCGCTCTCAGCTCGGCCTGCCCCTCTTTAAAGGCCCCCCGAATATTTAGTGCAAAGCTGGCTTACTTATAGATGGGTTAATGTAATCGTATATGAAACCGCGCATGGGTACATCTATGTGTATGTGCATGTGCTAGTGCATGTGTATTCCCATGCATGCGCATGATCA